GTCCAAGGTGATTTGCCACAACACCTGCTTTTCAGTAAGAAGTGGAAAAAGAGAAAATAAGGCGATTTCCTTCCTTTCAAGGGTATAATCTGCTCTGTCCAATATGGTAGCCACCAGCCACATGTGGCTATTTCCATTTCAATTAAAAGTAACTAAAGTGAAACACAATTTAAAACACTCTTCATAATATGCAGTAGTCTGATTTGAAGTGCCCATTGCATCCAAGCTCCTGAATATCTCCTCATCCTGTCTGTCTGGCAAATTTATATTCATCCAAGTTCCATTTCTCCCTCTCCCTGAAGTTCTCCTGATTTTATCAAGCTGAGATATGTAGTCTCTCTTCTATGCTCCTATAACATGCAGTTTTACATTGTTTCATGTGTGTGTGTATAGATATATAGATATAGGTATAGATACAGATATATTTATGTTGCTTATCTTCTCAAAAGTCTGTGAACCTCTTCAGGGCAGGAACATTTTTTCTCTTTTGTACCACGTCTAACTCAGAGCCTGGGCACACAAATGTTTGCTGAGTAAATGAGAGGGCTATGTGTTATTCAGGTTGCATTTCCAGGATCTAGCAGCGTGGCTGGCACAGAGGAGGTGCTCGCTAATTTTTATATGCAAAGACCAAACGAGCTGTGGGCAGTGTAAGCAGCGAGGCAGGGCCTGTGAGATGAGATGCCAGCCAAATCTCCAGTCACAGTGTGTTCATTTCCTTTGGCTGCTATAACAATTGCCACGAAGTTAGCTGCTTAAAGCAGTACAAATTTATTATTGCACAGTTCCATAAGGCTACTTACTATGGGTCTCAGTGGGCTAAAATCAAGGTGGTAGCAAGGCTGAATGCCTTTGTGGAGGCTGCAGGAGACGGTTCATTTCCTTGCCCTTTCCAGCTTCCAGGCACTGTTCATGTTCTCCAGCTCATGGTCCACTGTGTCCATCTGTAAACTTAGCAATAGCAAGTTGAATCCCTCTCACATTGCGTCATTCTGATCTCTAACTTCTGATTCCCTCTCTGATTTTAAGGACCCTTGAGACTGGGCCCACCAGGATAATCTATTTTAAGATCAGTTGCATGAAAACTTCAATTCCATCTGCAGCCTTAATTCCCCTTTGCTGTATAACCTAATATGTTCACAGATTCTAGGGCTTAGAATGTGGATGTCTCAGGGAAGAGACAGCATTATTTTGCCAACCAACAGGGTGTTTGAACACTGATGAAAGTCCATCTAATTAAGACAGTACCAGGATGAGACTGAAGTGAAATGTAGGGCCGATCACGCACATCCCAGATCTTTCCAGGACAGTGAAAAAACGCACATTACCTCATACACTGCTCACCAAATGTGTGCTATTCCCCCACTCTGGGGTGACCCCCATTGTAAGGGGAGGGAAGGGACAGTATGCATTGCGTCATACATATGAGAGGCATGTATATGTATACAAAGTAGTTATAAGCTGCCAGGTATGGATGACAATGTAATAAATGAAGTATCATTTTTCTGTAGGTACAAATGAAGCAGGAGAATGAATGGGGAAAAGGGACTACAAAAGGGTGGCAATGAAAGAAATCATTTTCAAATCACTTTCTTTGGGATTTCGTGTCCCTGAAAAGGAAAGGTGGGGTTGGGGAAAGAGCCTGTGTAACCTGCCAACTTCAAAAAGAAAAGGTAACTTAAAAAAAAATAGTGATTGTATGTGGAAAACCTCAAGTAATTTAATAGTTCAGGAAGTTGGCAGCATAATTTCACTATGACTTGCTCTACATTGTGGCTGAGAAAAGAGGTTCCACCTGCAGTGGGGACACACCTGCCCCCAGGGTTCCTAACTCAAGTAGCAAGTATGACAATAAACAACAACGACTGCAGCTGGCACTTACTGAGAACTGACTATGTGCCAAGCTCTATTTCAAGAGACCACATGTGTTAGTGCCTTCATATCCACAAGTTCATGAGGAAGGTAATATTATGCCAGTCTTGTACATAAGACATGGAATTTGAGTGGTATTCTGAAGCTCACACAAGTAGTAAGTGATGGAGTAGGAATTTGAATCCAAGCATTCCGGTTCCCCAGCGTCCATGCACTTGACACAGTGTGCCTTTTAGTCACTCTTCCCTACCAAGTTTTTGCCTCTGACTAGATTCTAGAGCTATTATCTGAATAAAGTATGGGATTAGTCTTTTGTTATATATGTTATAAAATTTATTAGAAGAAAACAATGAAAAATACCTTAGCTCTACAAGGTCCCCTAAAATAGGTACTGCTACTGCTCAAGAACCCCTTCAAGTCGTTCAAGACCCATAGCAGTGAAGGGCCACTTAACATTTTTTTGTTAAGTATCTTCACGTTTTGTATTCACCTGGAGAGGCACCTTTTGTGCACTTTAATGGATTAAAACTTCCATGTGGCCCTGGCTGGTGTAGCTCAGTGGATTGAGCTTGGGCCTGTGAAGCACAGGGTTGCTGGTTGGATTCCCAGTCAGGGCACATGCCTGGGTTGCAGGCCAGGTCCCTGGTAGGGGGCACATGAGAGGCAACCACACATTGATGTTTCTCTCCCGATCTTTCTCCTTCCCTTCCCTTCCCCTCTCTCCAAAAATAAATAAATAAAATATTTTTTAAAAAAAACTTCCACGTGTACTTCATTTGCTTTCATGACCTAAGATTCCTTAAGAAAACGACCAAAATTTGTATCCCAACCAAAAAGAAGTCTGAGTGGCCAACTGAACCTTTGCCAAGAAGGTGGCATCTTTTAGTCACATGGGAGAAACCCTAAGCAAACTCACTCAGGTTCAGGCGATGCCCCCGGTCTTGGATGCACTGGCCTGTCTGGAGGATTGGTGACTGGAACTGGTATACCTGGAGGAAGTCAGACTGTCCTACAACCACAGAGGAGCCGTCACCAGCAGCGAGGGCCTTGAAACAGTCACAGATCCCCTGGAAGAGCTTTTGAACAGATAAAGTGATTCTGAATGGCCCTGCTGTTGAAATGACTGCATTTGTAAAAGAAAAAAAATTGGTTACGTTAGAGGACTGGGTTGGATGACAAGGCATCTCAGAAGTACCTGTTGCAGTGGGAGTCTTGGTTGTCCACTCCTGGACCCTGGGTCCTGTGGTCTTGGTCCCTGCTGTAATTTGTAGGAAAAAATGACACTTTCTCTTGCATGTGTTTAAAACAAATTTTCTAGGCTTCAGATTTTGGGGTAAGCCTTTGCCCCCACCTCTTACATTGTGGACACTTAAGCTCATATTCCTGATTCCTGCCCCCTGGGAAGTATCTTTTTATGGCTGGACTTTCTTCTGTGCCATCTCCTGTATAAATCCTGCTGGTTCCATCTTCCATATCATCACCCCTCCTTCAAGGAAATGTCTTCCCCACCTATAACACCATTGTCCTCTTTCCATCAGTCCAAATCACAGCCTTGTCTACCAAGGCTCGGCGCTCTGACCTACCGCCTCTCCATCTCTCCATGCTTTACCTATGGGGGGAGTGCCTGGCAGGTCTACTGTGTGAAGTCAGAGGCACCCTCAAACATATGTTCCCTGGCTTCCTGTTGGTTGACACTACTTAGATTTTAAAACGGATTCTTTCATGGGGTTTTCTAGCCTCTTTGATATGCTCTAATCCCCGAGTCCCCTTCATAATTCCTCCTCTGGACAGAATCATCCAAAACATCCCAATCAATCTGCCATTTTAAAGTGAAATGAACGGCTTTACTGCACTATGAGAAGCCCTGGAAATATAACCATTCCATTGGTTAGGAAACCCCTCATTTGAAATGTCCTTAAATTGCCTGGATGACAAGTGAAGATTTCCTCAATTCTGAATATTCTTGCTCATCTGTCCAGCTTCTGCACTTTTACAACCTTCTCGCTCTCTTGTTGCTCCTCCATTCCCACACAGCAGCACCAGCTCTACAGTCTGTCTTGGCCCATTTCTTCTGCACTAAAACCAAGGCTTATTTTACCAACTCTTTAGCACGGTCCTTGAGTTCAGTGAAACTGATTTTTAGGTAGTTCCCCAAGACCTTGGGCTGGTTGATTTAATTCACCTCAGGTCATCTTTTCCAAGTACAAGCTAGATCCGCTTCGTATTGGGCTTTCACAAGAGCTAGTCCTTTCTGAGGTTCTCACCTTACCTTTCTTGTTCTTTCCTTTAATGTTTCTTGTCCTTCACACCCAGTAACTTCATGTCTCTACTGTCTCTAAACTAATTTGTTTGTGCTTTCATTGTTCCATCCCTCTCTGTCCTGCATCTGCATCAATTCCCCCTTCCTCTCATTGCCCCAGCACCTTTATTCATGCCCTCTTCTCACACAGGTAGTTGTTAGCATTTGGTAGCCTGCCAATAAATTATAATCTCTTTAAAGCCAAATGAGTTTTATTCAAGCTGTATATTCTGCAACTCCTAGAACAATACTTCTCATCTTGTATACAACAACTGCTCGATAAATGTTAAATGCCTTACAGGATTTTAGAGCTGTAAAGGATCTCAGCAAACATCTAATCCAGCTTCCTCATTACACAGAGAGAAAACTGAGACCCAGGGAAGTTCATTTATTGGCCAGGATGATTTCTGCCTCACCAAACAAATTGTGTGTGTGTGTGTGTGTATATCAGAAAGAGAAAGAGAGAGAGAGAAGCTCAGCTAGTGAGGAAACAATTGCTCTCCAGTTACACCATTCATAGTTTTGTAGGGTTGCTAGCTTCCCTGTTAGGCTGTTAACTTCTAGAAGCCAGGGACCTTTCCTCTTGCTTCCCTTCCTCCCTTCCTTCTTTTTTCCCTGTTATCCACAGTGCTTAAACTATGCATAGCAATGATGAAAATAAAAATATGTTAATGAATGAAGAAGATAAATAACTATTATAAAGGATCTTCTTTAGAATCTTTGTGAGAAAGACATTGAGGACAGTGTACAAACATGATACTGGTAAAACCTGTTTAAAAAAATAACACGAGCTCTTTCTGCCATCTTTCTGTGCCTCCATAATGCGTGCATGAATGTCCTGAATGACGCTCTCAAGAGTATCAACAATGCCAAAAAGAGAGGAAAACACCAGCTTCTTTTTTAAAAGAGATTTTATTTATATACTTTTAGAGAGGGGAGAATGGGGGGAGGAAGAGAGGAAAAGAAACATTAATGTGTGAGAGAAACATTGATGGTTGACTCTTGCATGCCTCCAACCAGGGTCCTGCAACCCAGGCATGTGCCCTGACCAGTGACTGTTCAGTTTGTGGGAAGATGCTCAACCCAATGAGCCACACCAGTCAGGGCAAACACCAGGTTCTTATTAGGCCATGCTCCAAAGTCATCACCCCATTTCTAATTGTGATGATGAAGCATGATTACGTTGGCGACTTTGAACTGATTGATGACCACAAAGCTGGAAAAATTGTTGTGAACCTCACAGGCAGGTTAAACAGGCATGGAGTAATCAGCCCAAGATTTGACGTACAACTGAAAGACCTAGAAAAATGGCAGAAGAGCCTGCTTCTGTCCCGTCATTTTGGTTTCATCGTACTGACAACCTCAACGGGCATCATGGACCATGAAGAAGTAAGATAGATGAAAACACACAGGAGGAAAGATCCTGGGATTCTTGTTCTAAGGATGTAATAAATATGTGCAAATAAAATGCCTCAATGGGCCTGGCTGGTGTAGCTCAGTGGATTGAGCGCGGACCTGTGATCCAGAGTATCAAGGTTTGATTCCCAGTCAGAGCACATGCCTGGGTTGCAGGCCAGTTCCCGGCAGGAGATACATGAGAAGGCAACCATAAATTGATATTTCTCTCCCTCCCTCCTTCCCTTCCCCTCTAAAGATAAATAAATAAAGTCTTAAAATGCCTCAATAGACAAAAAAATAAGGCACATAGATGGAGTTTGACTTTCAGTTTAATGTCTGTACACATTTAATATTTGGTAAATGACTGTTGAATTAGATTGGGGGAAAAGGAAATTCATCTTTTAAATTAACCTTTAGAAGTTACTTTTTAAATTGTTTCAAGTGTTAAGTGTTTTAGACGCAAACTAAGCTTATGATCTTATCAAAGCTGTTGGAAATAGCTTTTACTCAAGTAGTATTCTGAGACTGAATGCGAAATGGATCTTAACATTGGTAAGAACTCTGCTTTCTCTTAAGGCTAACAATTTTCCCCAAGGCACTGCCCCCTATGTAGGGGATACAATTAAAAAAAAAAATTGTCTCCTTTTACCGAAGCCACAGTATGATTGGAGATACAAAATGAGACACTTTCTGTCAATCTTTGAAAAACAAAACCTCCCCAAACTTTCTGGTTCTGAACTAACTAACCTTCAAGGCAGATTCTTACACATCTCTCCCTTTGAGGTACTTCCAAACAGCAAACATTTGATCCAAAGAGCTGTAAAGTCTTGTTCTCCTGCTTGATTCGCCCCAGGAGTCCATCCAACTCTCACACTCTGATCTCTAGGCCCTTCTCAATGACACCAATGGAGGCAGACTCTCTGCTAAATCTATGCGCTGTTTCTCCCCCTCTTCTCGTCACTTTTCCCACACAAGAGACCTTGTGTGCTTTCAGTGGTAGGATCACAGTGCTCTCCTGCCTTCACAGGAGACTGTTCTAACTCGGCAGGCCTCTGTGCAGAACCCTCTCTCCTGGGTGTCTGCGCCTAAATTTGCTCCTACGTCAACTGCACGTTGTCATTCCTCAGCCACTCGGGCATCTAGTCATTATATCCTCTTCCATTTTGAACTGCATTTCATCTTAGAGATTTATGTAATTTGTCCCAAGTCTTGTTTTTAACTGTTCTTTGCTATGTTTCTATTGATTTAGAGTTGTAAATTCTTTTTTTAAAGATTTTATTTATCTTTAGAGAGATGGGAAGAGAGGGAGAAAGAGGGAGAAAAACATCAATGTGTGAGAGATACATCAATTGGTTGCTTCTCATGCGCCCTGACCAGGGACTGAACCTACAACCCAGGCACGTGCCCGGACCAGGACTCAAACCAGCGACCTTTCGCTTTGTGGGATGACACCCAATAAACGGAGACATACCAATCAGGGCTAGGGTTATAATTTCTCTGTCATCTTTTTTTCTTTTCATTTTATTCAAGGCTGGCTAGTATGGCCAAATACACATCCCAGACACTATAGGACTTGGAGTGAAAATACATAAGTTTCATGTCAAATGTATTCTTTATGGATTACGTGACCATGGGCAAGTAACTTAGCTTTCCTGAACTTCAGTTTCCTCATTTTTAAAAATGAAACATTCTCACCTAATGAAGTGGTTATAAGTATCCAATTGATTAAGTTATACACAGTGCTTTGGAATGATAAAACGCAGTCCAGAGTTTAGCTATAATATGATGATACGGGTCGGTGGGAAAATAGCAGGTACCAAACAGAAGTTAGCAACTCACATAACAAAGCTAATACTTGACTGATATTCTGTGTCATGGCCAAGACTTGCTCCCTCACACTGAAACACTGATGGAGCTTATATTCCACTAGAAGGAGACTGGCAATAAATATGTTTGTACGTGATAATTTTAGGGTTGGCAGTGTTATTAAGAAATAAAAACAAAAATGGTGGGTTCTAGCATGATAGTGTCCATGAGGTGGAGGTATGAAGAGAAGGATTTACTTTAAATGGAGTGATTAAAGAAGAGTTTTCTCATAAGCTGACATCTGAACTAAGACCTGATGGATGAGAAATGAGAAATCAGACCTACAAAGAGCTTTGTAATTTTGGCTGAGGCACGAAAGTCTTGGAATGTTTCAGAAATAAGAAGAAAGCCAGTGTTATTGTAGTATATAGTAAGTGTCTTAATCTGTTCAAACCACTATGACAGAATACCATAGACTTGGAGGCTTATAAACAACAGACAGTTATTTCTCAGAGTTCTGGAGGCTGGGAAGTCTGAGGTCAAAATGCAGGCAGATTCAGCATCTGGTGAGGGCTGGCTTCCTGGTCTGTAGATGGTGTCTTCTTATTGGGTCCACACATGGCAGAAGGGACAAGGGAGCTCTCCGGAGTCTCTTCTATAAGGTCATGATTTCCATTCATGAAAGCACTACCCCCATGACCTCATTACCTCCCAAAAGCCCCACCTCCAAATACCATTTCACTGGGGGAATAGGTTTCAGCATACAAATTTGGGCGGAATACATTTTCAGCATATAGCAGAAGAGGGAGGTAGATTATATAAAAATGGAAAGTTTGGTAGGGTCAGATCACAGGGGACCTTGCAGGTAGTAGAAAGACCTTGAACTTGATGTCAATGTAGGATGTGAATACATATCACACCATGAGTCTTCCTCTACTTATAGTGGATGAGCCAACTGCATGATTTAAACTCTGGGAAGTTTTTGTTTTGTTTTGTTTTTGGAGGATTTTTTGGCTGGCTCTTAAAGCCACCTTCTCTTCTCTCCCTCATACATTTCTCAGGCACTTCCTGGGTCTACAACACAACAGGGCCTTCAAAAAGACAACTGTCAAAATTTGTTGTGATTCATGGAATGATGTATAAAGAAACAATATTCTTTTTTTCATTAGTTGGGGGAAGGTTCTTTTGCAGTACCCTGTAACTCTTGAACTCTTCATCTGTAGAATATAAGTGACAATTCTTTCTTGCCTGCACAGGGGGCTTTTCTAACTTGGCAGGCCTCTGTGCAGAATACTCTCTCCTGGGCGTCTGAGCCAACAAGATTTCCTGGGGTTGCTTTTGTCATAATATGACTAACTCTGCTGAGGTCCAGCTCCGGAACTGGCTTGCTATCTCACGTAAGCTTCCTAAAACTCTTGAGCTATAGGTCCTATTGTTATTTCCATTTTATAGATGAAGAAACTGGAAGTTTGCTTAAGGTCATAAAAGTTGGTAGGAGCTAACCTAAGATGTTTTAAATTTGAAGCCCAAAAAAGCCTTCTAAAGAAAAAACTGCATTGTCATTTTATAGTTCCAAAGAATCCTTCCATCTCCTCTGCCCCATGTCATGATAAACTTGAAGGCAGCTGGCATGGTGAAATGAGGGGGGTGCCTGAGGCATCAACCTGGGGAAATAAACTGGGCTCCCTCCCTTCCCAGGTCCTGCTTCCTGCTACCTCTGCTTCTGCAAGGTTCTGACCTTGGTCTCAGGCCCCCTCTCTGCTTGTTGTTTTTCAACTGGCATCTTGTTGTGTTTTCATCTTTATTCACAGTCATCAATTTTGCTTTTGTTTTTCTATCATGCCCTTGTCTTCTCAATTGACTTACACTCTCCCCTCCCTACAAGCCTACACTCTGGGGCTCACCTCCTGACCTGGGCACATGGCATTTCATGGTGAAGCCATGATAAAACCTTAACCCTCAGATTGCACTTGTTACCGAGAAGAAACACTGACTGACTAAATGAGCATTAAATGCTTTCAACCTAACAGGGGCTGGATCCAGTTAATACAGGAAATCAGATTTGGGCTTCAAACAGAGTGCTGATTTTATGGGGTACCACAAGTTCATGCTCCCAACGTGGTGAAGAGACCCGGTTGTAAGATTAGCACCACAACCGATGTTCTTTTGTGGAGGAGTGTCCATTGTACCAAATTTTGTTCCATTTTGTTTGTCCCTTTCTAGCTCTAACTTCATAGTATAGTACATCTGCTCTGCTCGTCCAACGTGTCTACTGCTCAGCTAACTGTCTCCAAGCTCACCAGTCTGCTCTGGTCCACGACTCTCACTGGCACTCACCTTCCCTGGAAGGTGTACTTTCCGGCTCTCCTAGCAGCACATTCACTTCGCACAGTCCTGGGATATCCACATGGACTTGTTACCCTCAAAGCCACTGCTGCTTGGTAACATCGCTCGGCCATTCTTGGCTGGTTCCGACAGATCCTAGAACTCTAAATGTCTCAAAATCTAAAAATAACTCTGACAAGAATTTGAAATCAAAATACCGGCATTTTAAGTGTAATAAACATTCTTCAGATTAGTCAGACAAAGTGCCTAGCATTTTGGGTGTTAACTAGTATCCTGAGCACACATTTGCTAGCAGGTAGAAAGAAAGATTAGACTTCTAGAACTAATCGCCTTACTCATTTCCTTTGAAAAGTTAAAATTTTTAATGGAGGAAGGCATATATACATATAATTTAAACTTCTGTCATCTTGCGTGTAGTTCTCTGAGAAGTTCACGTTTCGGAGGCCTGGTCTCATGGAAACTGGGAAATTAGCTGTTGGAATTAAGACTCAGGATCTGGCTGGGTTCCAAAAAATAAATACGCATGTAGGTATTGAGATAGAACACTAAAAGAATAGGAGAGTGAGTCAACTTTCGGAAATAAGAAGGCAAAAAATAGTTGACACTTTCTTGTTACTCCTTGATTTTTTTCATATTCTTACTTTTGAGTAGTTACTTGTGAACAGCAAGTCAAAAACAATGCAGCCATTGACCTAAGTATAAGCAGTAGGAAGGTTAAAAGAATTAATCTTGTTCTTCATAGCTGCATAGTAGTGCTCTTGGCTCAATGTTTATAATTAAATATTTAAGTTGTTGGTGCTCTCTTGAAAGAATTACTATCACAGTTTCCCCTCTATATGTAAGTCAAT